AAGCAAAGAGGAAAAAAAACTTAAGACTTCAAAAGGAAAGTGTTCTTGGATGAGAGGAAAATGTTCTCGTTTGACAGCCATTTTGGCCCACATACATGTTGAAGGACAAGTGTTTTTCTCATGTCTAGCCTCTCTCTCAGGCTTCTTGAAAGATGCAAAGTCTGTTTATTTAAAACAACGCCTTTTAGCCTGTGTCAAAAGAAGATTAACGCTGTACATAAGGCTACTTTTTATTTTACTTTGTGTTTTGTTTTGTTTTGTTTTTTTCTGTAATTTTTTTTCACATGAATTATGAACAGGTACTCATATTTTGTTTCTGGATTAATTATTTATTTCAAACTAGATGTTTTGTGCAAAAGGTCCTTTATGATAAAGTGTGAATACATACGTGCACAAATATCCAGTTTATTACACGTTTATAAGTGTGTATGTACATGCATATTTGTGTGTGTATGAATATATGTATAAACTGAGGAGGAATATATTGACCAAAGACTAAAGTATTTACTAAAAGCAAGGCAAGACATGTTTGATATGTTCTCGCTAAAGTCAGCAATGACCACCGCCTCTGTTTTTTAGGCAGCAGGCCTGAACCCTTTGTCTTTTTGCCCGACTGCTGGCAGCAAAGGCTGCTTCATTATTTTCATAAAATACGTACAATTAATTTATTTTGTCTGTCATTCAGGCAGCAAAGAGCTGATCACATTAACTCTAAATTATGATATTGCCCTCAACCTCTAGACAAAACTACTAAAGACGACTAAGGATGTTATTGGAAGGTGATAGATGAAATCTATATTTTTATCTCTACTCTCTGAGGAGTAAAAGTAGCTCCAGCTAGGATTAGGATCCTCTTCATCATTTCATGTCAGAATGGTTCCTTAGAGCTTGAGCAGCCAGTGTGCAGCTGGTTTCAGCCGTAACAGTATGTTGTCATCCCTTTCAGAAGTATTTTTTGGTGCAAATGGAAATGAAGGAACTTAGATCAGAGAGTTGTCCCAGAGCCATCAAGGGGTGGGGGGATCCTTGGATTTCAACGCAGTGGTACCACACAGCCTGATTCTTCTATGAAGAAGAAATAGATGAAGGAGGTAAATATATATTGATTTTGACTGAATACTGTGCTTTGTAATCCTGAAGGGGCATAACTATTTTCACTGTGAGGTTTTTATGATACAACAAAACTGCTTTCTTGCCAAACATAACCGCTTTGAAGCATGTCTGATTGTGGTATCTTGTTTTCATTTTTGTTTGTTTTAATGTAGGGTATTTTGTATCACTTCTGTATCCATCATTTGTATATTCTTAATGTTGTTATTATAATTATGATGATTCTGATTAATTATTATGCTTATTATGATGATTTCATTCCAATGAATAAGGATCAAAGACCAGCACGCTTTCTTGTAAAATGCCAGTTGTAAAGCTCAAGCTCACTGGTACCAACTGATCAACTGCAGCCAATGAATTCTGCTGTTCAGTCCTAATGTACAATACAGTATTTCAACTGGCGATAGGTATGATCATGTATAGTAAGTAATAACCATTAGCTGCCTTTGCAGCAGAACCCGTGTGGTGTATGCTCACACAAGCATAGCAGTAAACACACACATATACAGATGATTCACTGTGCTTTTTTTTAATTTATGCCACTACTGCAGTATTGTAAATCTCAGTCAGGCTTTAAGGTGACCTCTCCCTTCCACACATTAAACTTCTAAGTAGTAACAAATGACATCTCTGGTATAACACCATATGAAGAGGACCGGCAGAATTGATAGGCCTGCACACATTTCTTTTATTATTTTCCCCCACTCAGTCTTTCAGCGAAAAGTGAAAATACTAATAGCTGAATTCGATTGCCTTAAGTTAATATAAAATAAATCCTAGACTAACACTAAACAGGAACTGTGCCTGCTTGCCCTGTCTGGACTGCTGATGTTTGGACGGAGAGAAAGGGATAAGGGCTTGTCGAGAATAATTTTCAGTGAACATTCTCATCATTGCAATGATGTTGGTTTCTCCAGCTTCAACTTTTGTAAGTGGGAGAATCAGCCCTGACTTAGCTCTTCCGCCACACTCAACAATGGCAACCAACAGTTGATCATGTTTGTACCAAAGCCAGCTCACGCAGCCTTGTGCTATTGGTCCCTCCTGTGCAATGATATTTGGCCTCGGGCATGGTGGGTGCACCAGAGGACAGTAATGTTAGGGAGATCACCAACTATCACGTGAACTGTGACCAATGAAGAGTGATTCATATAAGCAAAGAGTTTATAGAATGGACATGAGTTTATAAAAATGTGCATTGTATGTATTCTATTTCTATTGGCTGTCCATAGACTTGTGTTGATTGTTAACTCTTGGGATGTTTTTGGGGGAACAGGAGAGGGGAGGAAGGTTGTCCCCATACTACTGAAACAGTGTTTTGCTCAGGCCTGATGAATCCTTCCGTATTTGTTTTTGTTTTATTTGTATTTTCCCTGAGTTGGAGGAGTTGAGAGGGGAGTGTTTTGCAAAGTTGAAGGACAAGAAGAGTTGAGGACTATGACAAAGAGAAAAATAACATTTCCCCTTGAAGAGAAAAATAAAAAAAAATCAATGGCTGTTTTGTGTGATCATATATTTACTAATCTTGTTGATTGTACAGAAAATATGTATTACCTATGGCTAATAGGAAGAGACCCATCATAAATTACACAATAACTTATATTTGTGGTAAATGCCATTGTGAGGTTATTTTACAGTTGTAAAAAGTGTGTCCATTTACATATATAGACTTCTAAATTTTAAAGGATTCTGTATGCTAACTGTATTATTATTATTATATTACAACACTAACTGTATTCAATGCTTTGGATGTGTTAAGAGTTACCTATGCAGGCCACACAGTTTGACTTTTTTCATGAAAGCAAACATTAATGACAAGATTTTGGCGTATTGGACAACACAAGGCCGCAAACAAAGATATTCTCTATGGTAAGTAACAGTAATTGTAAGAAACATAAATGAGATGACTTTCTATTCTTCACTCACCATTTTTACAGAGAAATAAACCGATCTCTGAAGAATACGTCATGGATTCATACGACGGTGGACCACAAGCTGAAGAAATGGACTGCCAAAACAAGGACGTGGTCACAAATGGAAAGAACCTGAGACTAAACTAAGTCCATCAGAGCTGCAGGACCAGCAGGACTGCTGATGAACACGTGCCTCCTTGCACCGTCTACAGGAAAGTTACGGTAAGTAGTAGCCTATAGAAATTATACACTTGTACCACCTGTGGATAATTAGTGCACCTTCAGTTCTGCAACTACAGATGCTAATTATTGTCTTGATTAGTCAATTGATTGTCTGGCTCATGAAAGTTCTGAAAATAGTGAGAAATTCTGTCACAGTTACCCAGAGCCCAAAGTGACACCTTCACCATGTTATTTATTTCAGCTGTACTTGAATCTAGTGATGGGCAAATTAGCTCTTTTACAGACACCACCATTTTGCACTCACAAGCCTAAAAATAATGGACCCAAAATAAAAAGGTTACTGTTGTTCAACCCTTTTGTTCGCAGTCATAACTCTGGTCTCCTTTGAAGGATAAGTCTCTAAATAAAATGAAAAAGTCAGAATGAGTGGAAGAGATACTGAACAAAAGTGACAGAAGCACAAACATAGTAGCAATATAGATTTTTGTTCCTAGTCTCCTTTTTTCAGAAAATAACTAATATAAGGCTTGTGCTGGTACCTTTTAATGTGGAAAACATTTTGGAGCTTTTGCCAGATATCGGAATTCTTTGTCAAGGGCTGTTGCAGTGATATGGGGATAGATAGAATCGGCACACTTAGAGCTTTCAAATAATATGTAATTTGTCAAGGTTGTGTGAAAATCTAGCTTGATACAGACCAAAACACACCTGAAATACTGCTACCAAGGCTATTATAAAAGATGAATTTACAATTAAGCATCATATTTTATAAATGCTTTATATTTTCGTATGCAAGAATCTTAATTTTTAAAGTAACTAATAACTAAAGCTGTCAGATAAAAATAATTCAGTAAAAAGTACAGTATTTCCCTTTGAACTGTAGTGAACCTCAAATTTGTACTTACAGTAAGTACTTGAGGAAATGTACTTAGTTCAATCCATCACTGATAGCTGACAGATATCCATGCCAACAGAGACAGGCATTTACTGTAAGCTTAGATACTTCCGGTCCCACTTCATTCCCATTTCAACCAGAAAGGCAAACGAGATCTTTCAGTTTCCTGTACTGGTGCACCTCATGTGTACAAGTGACCATGCACTCTTCATGTGATGAGTGTGCTGAGATAGTAAGCTTAGACACATTCATGGTCATCGTCTGAGAGTCCACCACAGACCACACCATGAACTCCAGCAGGATGATGCCCTGATCCAACTGATGTCCTTCACAAATGTTGCAGAGAAGCCCAGCATGTCTTGATTACTGCGGCTTGGAATTTGACATAACATCTGCAAACATTTTTATTTCCTGATTCTGAGCAGCAGGTGAAAGAATTTAATCTCAAATCTGGCAACATCAAAAAAACTCCTGTCCTAAATCACAAATCTATTATCTTCTAAAATTAAGAAGTAATTATCTTCATTTCCTCCAGGGGGCAGTACAATCTCACTATTTCTAAGGACCACTCCAGCAGTGCTTTGGAACCTGCAGGTCTGGACCCCTGAGAGGTGGTAAGATGGTTTGTAATATATATGTTTTGAATTCTTTCAAGAACTCCAGTTTGCTTGGTTAACAATGAATTTGTTTAATCTTTTATTTTTCTCCCAATAAGCAACCTGTAGATTTTTGTACCCACCTGAACTCATTTTGAATATTCAAACCACTAGACTTCATACAGTACAGTTTTAGAGAGATACTTACTGACCACTCAACAATTACTTAAATGTGAAAAATGAATTCATCATTAATTGATAATGAAAGAATCAACAAAATGAAGCATGAAAAATCTCCAAAAGTAGATCTGCTATCAGTTTAATTTCAGAAATTCTCATTAAAACTGATGCTGCTTCTGTTACATCTGTGTGTGAGTGAATGTGAAGAAGAAGAAGAAAAACGAGGAGGGCTATCAGAAAAGACTGAACTCCCGGTCTGTCACTGACATTTCTTTGACAAATCTGTGAAAGCAACAAATTGATTGCAATCAGAGGTAGATAATATGTAAAAAAAAAAAATACAATATTAGATTTGGAAATGTTACCCACTTGGTCATCTCACTGTTCTTTCGGGGAAACCGTTTGACTTGCGTCCATTGTGCAGGACTCTTGGACATCATCCATCCGTACTGCTGACTGTCCGTCAGAGGCATTATGTACAGCTGGTTGGGAGCTGGGGAAGAGAGGAGACCAAGACTTTGACCAATCTCATTTAATGCACTTGGCTTGTCACTAGGAATACAGCTGTGATCTGTCCATCAGACACTTAAATTATGTGTAACATCTTAATGTCCACTTACATCTGGGTGTGTGAACCCGTTTGACCATCTCTTTGTATCGCTCATGGCTCCCATGGTGTATGTCAGTGCTGTACGGAAGAGGCTGATGGTAAACACTGCATTTGTCTGCACATGTGAGGGGTCCCTGTTGTTCTTGAAGCGATGGAGGTGGTCCTTCTTTGCTGTTGATCCTAGCATCTTTAAAGAAGTATGTTACTACAGTATACATTGCTCATTATTTGGATTACATTAATAAGTGTGTGGCTACTACAAAAGACGCAAGAGATCAAGTTAAAGTTAAACTTGAGTAGTTGTTTTTGCAGTGCAGTACATGGGATTTGATAAATGTTAAAATATTGCATGTTATATACAGTGTCAAGAGCCAAAAAAGATATGAATATGAACACAAAGCCCTATGGAAGGTTCCTATGCGCATTCTTCACAATTTTCTGACATTTTATATACCAAACTATTACTGAAGTTATCGAGAAAATTAATCACAGATTAATCAATAATGAAAATACACCCAAGTGGTCAAGGGGCTCTCTTTTTCAAATGACTTCACATTTCTTATTTGAATGTCAATCAAACAACTACAAAGAGACACAAAACCACCTCAAAAAGATGTAAAACCACCAGACAGTGATACAAGCTGATAACAAACGAGACAACCACAGAAAATGACCACAAAGAGATTCAAAACAGCCGTAGGAGACATAAACCCAAAACAAAGACACACAAAACGACCTCAAAAAGACACAAATTACCACAAACGGATGCAAAGTGATCACAAAAAAAAAAACACAACACAAACACAAACAGATACTCAAAACGACCACAAAGAGATCCAACAGGATAGGTGACTTTTAAAGAGTTAAATAAGTAGCATGTCATTGTTAACTATGAGCGAGCTAAAGGCGCTGCTTTCCCCGTGGCAGCAGCTACAGTTCCTCTTACCCTGAGACTGAGACGCTCTTGTAGGATTCACTATCTTTTTATCGCCTATTGGGTTTTGATAACCCAGGTGTGTTAAACCGAAGAAGGCCATAGTGGCACAGTGAGAGTCTACCCACCAAACGAGCCTGTTGGAAACCGAGACGCGCAGAGAGACAGACAGTTAAATAAATCACAACTTTTGGTTTAGACGTAACCATGGCAACACATCCTGCCTACCCGTAGGAATTCGTAATGACGATGACTACTTTTGCTTTCTGTAATAAAAAATAAAAAACATTAGATATGTAGCCTACTTATGTATTTATTTATATTTATTTATACTTTAGTTGGTTTATTTGAACTGAACTATGATCCCCGGCAAATTAAGAGAATCACGATTTATTGATCATCCTAACGTTTCGATCTCTAGACCTCAGTCAGAAGTACTTTAACAGTTCTTACAACAGTTCTTAAATAAGATCACGCTCCACCCATGTTGTTTGTGTACATGGAGGATCAACATATCCTGGTAGTAAGAAAAAGCCTCTGTAGAGCCTTATTTATGTCCAAGAGACATGGATCCATGATGCGAGGCAATGTTTTGCAACACACAATATGCCACAAACAATGATTTAACACATGCAGGTTGTTTTCTAATGTTCCACCTGATTTATCCAAACATCTGAAACAAACTTTGCGCTTAACAAGCAGAGAGTACGCGCGTTGTGCGCGTCCCCTAGTAATACCCATTGGATATTTCTTTGTTGTTTTTGTAAGTATGAGACCTGCTTCTCATTTGCGTAAAAATCTCTCATCTCTTAAAAAAGAAGGGGCCCATCTAGAAACCCATTTGAACATTTAAAACTGAGGAGAGACCGGGTGGGTCAACTTACAGGATTCTGAAGGAAGATAGGCTATGTCATAATCTCAGGTTTCTTATATGGGGAAAGGTTTACTCGGATGTATTTATTCCCCCAATACATTTGAGGCTTCTTTATATTCCAAATTTCTTGCTGATTTATCTTCTATTATCAAACGTTTTGTAATCTTGGGCAGGGACCTGAATGCCTGTTTGGAACCAGAGTTGGACAAATGTCCTGTCAAACCCATACACCCATCCAAAATGGCAGTAGCCACCAGGGAGCTATGCAGCAATTTGAATTGATTTGACACCTGGAGGTTATTGAAACCAAAAGTGAGGGACGTCACTTTTTTTCCCCCCACCCACATAACACCCCATTTTTCAAGGATTGACTATTTTTTTCACCTCGAGGCAGGCATTGGACAAGGTTAGAACCTGTAGTATAAAAGCCATGTCACTTTCAGATCATTCGCTCATTGGACTGGAACTTACAGCTCCCTATTATGACCCCACTGCACAGCACTGGTGTGCCTCAACCCTTCCTTGCTCAGTAATCCCACCATTTGAACTCTCTCTGTCACAAATGAGGTAAGGCTGGACCCAAATGCAGCCAAAGCAAGAGAGTCGATGAAAAATAGAATCAGAAGCCCTAGGTAACACAAGGAACTTGAACAGGAACCAGAAGCATATGATAATACAAGGAACTTGAATAGGAACAAGTAGAACGAGATAACACAAGGAACTTGAACAGGAACCAGAAGAACGAGATAACATAAGGAACTTGAAAGGACAAACTCACACAGACCACATAGACTAAATACACACAAGGGAGGCAACGGTGATTGAACACAGGTGAAACACATTAGGGTGGGGCAGACAATCAACTAGAGGGAAACAGGGCAAAGACAGGAAATAAAGACATCAATCGACACAAGGAAAGTAATTACAAAACAGGAAATGACAAAGACCAAACTCATAAACGTGGCATGCATGTGGGCATGCCATGTGCATATAGTGTTAGGGTGGCTAAGACATTTTCTGGATGAAAATGACGCCTGGCACTGGCTCTCTCTGTCTCTACTCAGCCTTGTTACTAATGAGACGTCTTTGCTACCAATCAAGGTCAAGAACAGTCCAGTTATGATTAACACACTCAGAACTTGGGAGAAGATTGTGAAGTTCACCCAAAAGGTTCGACTCCAGCCCTGCACCCCATTATATAGAACAAAGCCTTTCCTCGAGGACTGGATACGAACATATTTCCATTCTGGTATGATCACGATATCAGGGTTGTTGGTGATATGTTCGAGGACGATAAATTATTATCATTTGAACAAATCACAACCAAATATGTTGTACCACCTCAACATTTTTATGGCTATCTTCAGGTCAGACGTTTCATTAACAATCTTGATCTCCCTGAAACCCAGCCAATAGGCTCAGCTTATGACTCATTCTTGTTACAGTTTTGCCATAATACAAAAATTATATCCTACTTCTATGGAAAACTACAGTCCCTCAATACATGTAACATTGACAGAATTAAAAATATATGAAACAGGGACTTGGGACTGAGTTTTGAGAGGAAGCATGGTCCAATGCAGTGGAGTCAGTAGGCAAAATCTTTTTGTGCAACAGGCAAACGGAGAGTCAGTACAAGATCCTTCATAGATTACAACACACACCCCAATCTCTCAATACTTTCTATCCTGGGATCTCTCCCCTCTGTGTTAAGTGCAAGCAGGAGGTTGGGTCTAACATACATTGCATCTGGTGCTGCCCTTTGATATTTAGATTTTGGGAAAAAGTCTCATAGGAAATTTATGTAATTTTTGGTAAGAACATACAAATAAATCCTGGTTTGTTTCGGTTAAATCTTTCAGTAGAGGGGATTTCTCTATTAAGTGTCCAGCAAAAACTTCTGATCAAGCTTCTTTTATTAGCGAGGAGATGCATTCTATTTCAGTGGATTAAATCTAGACCTCCAATGGTTAACCAGTGGTATGGAGAAATCTTTAAAGTTCTACCAATGGAGCGCTTGAGTTCAGTTTTAAAGGGGAATGAGAGGTCTTTCGATAAATTGTGGGTGCCTTTATCTGGCAAGGCAAAAAGCCTAGGCAGAGGCTTAAGATATTACGATTACCTACAGACATGTGTGGTCTTTCTATGCCTAATATGTTGTTCTATAACTGGGCTTGTCATGCACGCCACCTCTGGCTGTGGTTACATTCATATATTAAGAGAGAGACCTGTATTGATTCCTGGGCCTGTCACCCTCACTCCCCATGGAGCTTAATCACATGTGAGGCAAAGAAGATAAATCCAGAAATAAAATGTAATCCTATCATTTACAACAGTATCAGGATATGGCATGATATTTCTAAATACCTGGGAAGAAGGAATGTGAAATCCTTACTGTCTCCCATAACCCAAAATCCTGACTTTCCTGCAGGTGTTAGCTCACCTATATTCCTCTCTTGGTGGGACAAAGGAAATCACGTAATTGGCAATCTATTGAGAGACAATACATTACTATCCTTCCAGTAGTTACAAGAAACATTCAATATTCCCAAGCACCATTTTTTTGGATACTTACAGGTCAGGCATTTTGTGTCTTCACAGACCACTTCTTTCTCTACTAACATCTTTTACAGTGATGTTGAGAGATTTCTTCTTGAGCGCAAAAACAGAAAACATTTTATAGCTTCATTTTGCTCACTTCTGGGTTCTTCTGTCACATGCCATTTACCAGACATCTCTCATAGATGGGAAAAAGACTTGAACAATGAATATATAGAGGATGACTGGCAGACAACTATACGCCTGATCAAGTCCACATCTACTTGTAACTGGCTGAGAGAAACTCAGTACAAGATACTTCACAGACTGCATATTACTCATGTTGTTTTAAACAAAATTGACCACTCTATTTCTCCTCTGTGTACCAAGTGCAACTTAGAAAGGGTTATGTATTTCCATTACTTTTGGGAATGTAAACTGATTTCCAGATTTTGGACACTTATTTCAAATATAGATATTTAAAATAAAAATTAAGAAAGACCCTGGGGTCCCCAGACCGGCCCTCCTAGGCCTCCCCTCTAGGGACCTACATCTCACTGCATCACATTATAAGCTCTTTGAAAAACTCCTTCTAGCTGCTCGAAAGTGTATACTGCAAAACTGGATCAAAACTCTTCCACCTAGTGTCACCCTTTGGTACAGAGAGATCTTTAATATCCTCCCTCATGAAAGGTTGGAAGCTGTTGTGAAGGGTAAAGATGAGTTATTTTTAAAAGTTTGGACACCCTTCCTAGATTACATACCTGCAGATCTGAAAAATCTACTAATGATGTGCAGGCAGTTTTCTGAATGGAATAAGGCCTCCCCTATGCAGGGACATAGAGTGCAATAGGCTGCTGATGACTGGTTACCCTTAATTCATAGTTACAGACTACGGACTGGAAACAAACTAGAACTGTAATTATTAAAAAAGATTTTGGGTGCCTTTCCTAAACTGCCTGCCGGACTGTACAGCAGACTTAGTATGCACAGGGTGTTGCAATGTAGCCTGGCGTCCCTCCTGCACCTCTGAATGCCTAATGCTCCTTCCTGGACATTGATTTTGTTTCATTGCTTTAGCTGTGTTTTCCGTGATTCATATGAAATTTCTAAACTGTGAACACTAAGAATTGTCCATGCAAGGTCCCATGCTGTTGCGCCCCCCCCCCCCCCCCCCCCCCCCCCATTGGTAGACTGTATTGATTGCTTCATTATCTTGCCATGCTGGCCCTTATGGGGGTTTTTTTCTCGTCCAGTGTTCCAGACCGTATTCCTCTATCTGTTTTAAAAACTATATAAAATATTGGTTAAAAAAAGAAAGCAGTACTAGAATCAATTATTCAGTGACTCCTCACCTTTGTGACTGTGCATTCTCACGGTTGCGTCTAAAATCACTCACTCATTCACCACTCCCTCCTCTCTTTCCATGGAGTTCAATGTAGATGCTTATAACGGTAAAATGAGAAAACACTTTCTGACACTTTCTGGCTTTCAGCGCGAGCGCAATGCATTATGGTAGATGTATTGTTTGGTTAGTGACCATTGGTTGTACACTACTTTTCACGATGCATTCTAGGATACTATGAATCCACTATATAGGGTATAATAATTCTCACTATACATTCGTACATCACTATAAAATGGCAAACTCACTAGGCTATATAGTGGACTATTGAGGGAGTAGAGAGTGATTCCAGACTCAACCACTAACGTCACTCACCTGCCTCTTTGAATTCTACGGTGCATATTTAATATGATGTGTGTGATGCGGTCTGGCAGGTTTATTGCAGTTGTCTATTGGACCGGTTTGTGCAGTCACTCCTCCTGCTGACTTGTTTGAAAGGGCGAACAACAACAAGGCAGATTCTCCTTCTGAAAGACTAACAGAGAGAGAGACAAAAACTCCGTGCCATATACAAAAGGAGAACACAGGTGGAGGAATTTTTTCATGTCCTGTAGCAAAAGTATAGTAAGTACCGATTCAATAGATTAGAAGAATAGAATAAAAGTTTGTCCTTTAATGTCTGACTCAGAACTATAGGCATGTTATGGCAATTGGTTTTTTTTTCTTGTTTATCAAGTGATTATCATGCATTTCTCTCCAAATATTGTTGTAAATGGTAAACTTTATTAAATGTATAGGCTACATTTTCAAAACACTGTAATCTAAACAATGTCTTACATTAATATTGCCACTTATAGGCTACAGACTTATGTAAAAACGCGGTGTACTGAATTATCTAATGTTCTGTGAAGCCTGCACGGCAGAAATACACAAACGTTGTAGGATTTGTTGATAGATCATATACATAAGTTTTGAATTGATCATTGTATAATATATAGCCTACAACTGTTCTGATTGTTAATATGCTGTGCAGTAAGTAGACTTATGGTACACATTAATAGAGGGTTGTGTATAGGCCTACATTTTTTCTAGGTAGTTCACATATAAAGTTTCCTACTTTGTATATTTAAAAAAAAAAATACGCGTATGGACACTATGGGCTCTATCTTATACACGCCTATACTCTGCCTGCGGAGTGTTTTTGTGGATTTCCCATATATAACCGAGACTAACTTTGTCCCATCACAGTTTCATAATGAACCGGAAATGTATTTATATATGCAGCACATTAATTCACTCAGCTTACCTCCCTGAGCGCACAGCCTACCTGTGACGGGACTGGGTTCACTGGCCAGCCACAGTATTTTATCAACTCGCCACGAATTCTGTGTCAAACACGTAATAGCAAAGTGGCAAAGGTCGAGCGTTTTAAAGGGGATGGGAGATGGCACTGTTTTTTGCATGTTCGCCCAAAACACTCGCGACCGTTTTTCCATCGGTTAAACAGCAAAAGTGGATATGGACATACCTTAAATACACGCGCGCCTTGCGTTTTAGACCATGCGCTTTGGGCTGTTAAAATAGAGCCCATTATGTGTAAGTCTAGCTTATATGATGAGAAAATAAAATGGTGTCTAATTTAATGTGTCAGGACTATTAGACATGTGAGCCAGTAAAAAAACAACAACAAAGAAAAAACAATTAAAGAGGATGCAGCTGCCAGCGTAACAATATTTTAAAGATTTTTAATTATTTCTTTAATGATATATTTTATGTGATCTCTTTTCAGCTTTATTTTAGGTCAGTCCTTCCCAGTGTATGCCATGCATATATGTTACCCTGGACTCACCCCTCTGAACATGGTTGTATTTTTCTGCTTTTTGTTTTTACCTTACATTATTTTTCATTCATACTACAACATTAACGACAGAGCGTTCCCGCTAACAGCACAACGACTTATGGCAAATATGAGTCGCTCAGGTATCGATTGTCCTTCTGGCTTTTACACCAAAGAGGAGCTGAAGCCTCACCTTCAGAGGCCACTTCAGGATTCTATGGCACAAGGTGCAAATGGGAAAGCCTTTGTGTTACAGCTAATGAATCCTGAAGAACAGAATGAGAAATTGCGTGGCTTTGATAAAAACCAGTTCAATCAGTTTGCCAGTGATCGCATCTCTCTGCATCGTGACCTAGGCAAAGACACCCGCCACACAGAGTGAGTATATAATCACTGTTTATTGAGGATCAATAACTGCTGACACTGACATGTAATTCTTTAGAAAATATGCATCTTGTTAAAAATCTGACACCTGCTTGGCCCTGACAGTTGCCTGGAACAGAAGTTTTGGCGTTGTCCTGGTCTCCCTACCACCAGTGTGATCATAGTGTTTCATAATGAGGCCTGGTCCACTCTGCTCAGGACGGTCTACAGTATCTTACACACTGCTCCTGCAGCCCTGCTCACAGAGATCTTACTGGTGGATGATGCCAGCACAGACGGTAAGAGTCGTCATGATGATGCAATCAAACTGGATATAAACCTATAGTCTGATACATCTATACTGAATCCTTAAAATCGTATGGTTTGCATATAGCCTACATAGGGCCTACATAGGGCCTACACATACTATCAGCAGTGGAGGAAGTATTGACATCCTTTACTTAAATAGCTGTATCATATTGTTACTGAAATAACATCAGCTAAAAGTAAAAGTACTCAAATCAGAAAAATGGCTCCATTGAGTGTTACTTTTATATATTATATTATTATACTAATCAAGAACAATGAGTCACTATTTTAATTGGTCACTGGCCATGATGAAGCAAATTTTTACCATTTTGTGTCCTAATATTAGTTTGGAAAGTTATAGTGGGCTATCTAGCCTAAACTTGTTCTTAAATGTAAAATGTAATGAATAAATAGTAGAATATTTTTCCTACAATACCCCACTGAAGCAAAGTACTCATGTAACCAGTAGCTCAACAGATACCGTGAGCTGGATGACTGAGAATCTTCAAATACTCAGTAATTTACAGGTACCTCAAATGTATTTGTATTTAAATATGGTGAAGTAGTTACCTTCCACTACTGCCATGAATTTGTGAAAAACATTATCACAATATTTTCACTCATTTAAACTTAAAGCTATCAGTATTTACAATGGATCACATGACTACTTGTATCTGAAAGAGGTCACTCATAGTGTAAAGTGTACTGTAAAAGCAACTTTAACAAATGTAAATAATCTTACTTTATTTCCATGAATATCTAAGATAATAGTCATTCCATTAATATGAAAAGCCGCCTATGGGCCAAAACTGAATACTTCACTTGCACAAAGATATAACCAGTACTAAGCACTGGCACATACATGCATACTATCATGCATATACACAAATACAGTTATGCATTTACATACATACATGCATACAGAGAATATGCATGTAGGAGTATGAGGGTATATGAGTGTGTATGACTATGTATGTATGTTGGCACTTCAAGTATGATAATGTATATAAACTCATGTAAGTATCTGTGTATATGAGTATGTATATATGTGTGTACTTGAGTATGTTTGTGTATGTGTGCATAACTATGTATGTATGTGTGTGCTTGAGTATGCATGTATCCGGAGGGCTGGAGGTTGCTACCACTAGATGGCACACCAACCACCAATAAACATGAAAGAAGAGGAGTGAAGAGTAATGACACAAGTGGAGGCAAGATGCATTGTGGTGGTCAACAGTGCAGCTCATACTGAAGCTATCTCTTTGCTGCAGACTCTGCTTGCCTCTCCTTCTGTGGTCAATGCCATTGCAACAGCTGTGGAAAACAATAGTAGTCAAATATGAAATGCTATTTATCCAAATGTGGAAAGAGAGCTATATGGGTTATTTTATCCATCAGCATCACACAGTCACACAGTTGTCGAGTCCTCTGTCTTTAGATTCCCTGAAGACTCGCCTCGATGAATATGTGGAGCAGCTGAAGATAGTACGTGTGTTACGACAGAAAGAGAGGAAAGGCTTGGTCACAGCCAGACTGCTGGGGGCGCAGGCTGCACAAGGAGAGGTCCTCACCTTCCTGGATTCTCACTGTATGTATATCCTAACATTTTCATGCAGGGTTCAGTTGGTAGTCTGCAAGGAGAAAAACATCACAGAGCAGCATCGTGAATGTTCCTCAAATACTGTATAAGTTGTACAGCATGTATTTTATCATCTATGATAAATGGAAACAAGCAAGAAAAATGTTTATCTGTTTTTCCTAAAGGTTAGGCATTTAGTAGAAGTAAATGATAGAGAGGGGGCAAGTGAAAACTATAGGGTGCCCTAGAGTCTCCACATTCAACCAACAACTTCCTAGTTACACCCCTGACTGCGATAATTGTTTTTACTGAGTAACAGATAAATATCTCTTCATAGGTGAATGCTTCAATGGATGGCTGGAGCCTCTTCTAGCTCGGATAGCGGAGCAGCCTACTGCTGTGGTGAGCCCAAAAATTGCCAGCATTGACAGAGATAATCTAAAATTCAGTAAGCCACGCCCTGAACTGCATCATTACATGCGAGGGAATTTTGACTGGAGGCTCACGTTTGGATGGGAGCCCATCCCCGAAGCAGAGAAGATCCGAAGGAAGAATGAGACACATCCCATCAGGTACATAAAAGTATACTGACACATGCACACATGCTATATATAACTGGAAAAGCAATCATCTTTTATGATAGTATTCAGATCTTCCTCAGATACACATAGAGATTGACAATCATTTGAACTGGCTGATAGCCAACATGACATTTGGATGATATTGTCATGAGCAGAAATATTATGACTGTGTACGAGAATGAACTATGCAAAGTGAGTCAGACTCATGACCCCCGATTTATGGTTATTCAAATAGCACATGTAAAGGTGTGGCACCATTGTTGATGAAATCACATCAAATTCTGTGGGATTGCTTGGAGCTGGATTTAAGGACACCCAAATATGCTATGCACCCAGTTCAGTGTTGAGTGAAAGAAATGAGAAGTGGTGATGAAAAAAACTGCAAAACTGTGCTTGGACACTTAATGACACAGCCCATATTGATAGATTTGTCTTGATGGTTTGAGACAAATCTATCAATATGGGCTGTGTATCCTAGGGGGAACAGGTCTTGGTGCTTCACAGTTCAGGTGTTATGAGCCAAAACATAAAGTGGTGTTCAAATATATATGTGGTGGCTCCATTCAGACCAAAGTTTAACCGGTTCATTCAAGGCCTATAGCACTTTAGCAAATTTCCCCTGAAATCTGCTGACAAGGTTTTGAGATATCCTGCTAGCTGACAGGCAGTCAGCTAATTTACAGTAATAGTTTGGTATAAATACGTTTATTTACTCTTTTTTCCTGAGATGAGAAGATAGTTACCACTCTGTTGTCTGTATGATTAATATAAAGATGGAGCAAGCAACCAGTTGGCACTTGAAGCAAACAGGGATAGCCAGCCTGGATGGAAATCTAAAGTCTAAAAATGATAATTCACTGTTTTACGGATTGAACAAATAAGATATCATTTGTTACTGAGCTTTAAAGGTGCTGGTAGGAAGATTTAAAAAAAAATTGGTTAAGTTAAGCTAAAAGCTGAGTGACTGAGTAGCTGGCTCCAGCTACATGTTTAGCATGTTAATGTGAGCAAATAAGAGTTCCCAAACTGTTCATTTAAATTGAATTATTAATGGTCATTGACAGTGAGTGATTTGCCTGATTTTGTAGAACACCTACCTTTGCTGGTGGCATCTTCTCTGTATCTAAATCATACTTTGAGCATATGGGGACTTACGATGACCAGATGGAGTTCTGGGGAGGTGAGAATTTGGAGATGTCCTTCAGGGTAAGAAGTGTTTTTCAATATATATAGATGAGTGATAAATTAAAGGAAAAATCTGAGAAATTAGGGGAGAAACAAGATAACAATGCCCCCATCCACATGGCACGAGGGGTCACTGAATGGTTTGATGAGTATGAAAACGATGTGAATCATAAGCCTGGCCTTCTCATTCACCACATCTCAACCACATTGAACTCCTATGGGAGATTTTGGACCGGAGTGTTAGACAACGCTCTCCACCACCATTGTCAAAATGTCAAATGAGGGAATATCTTTTGGATGAATGGTGTTCATCCCACCAGTAAAGTTTAGAGACTAGTTGAATAAATGACAAGGAGCAATGAAGCTGCTCTGGTGGCTTACCTTACTAAAACACTTAAGGATTGTCTCTCCTTCAATTTGTCACCTGTGTCTATATGCTTTACAAAGTGTTGTCCACTTCTGACCTTGTGCTGTGTGTCCTCTCCAATGTAGGTCTGGCAATGTGGAGGTCAGCTGGAGATTATTCCTTGTTCTGTTGTAGGACACATTTTCCGCAGAGAGAGCCCCCACAAATTCCCCAATAGCTCCTCTATAATAATCCGCAACCTGGTCCGCCTGGCTGAGGTCTGGCTGGATGAGTACAAATGGGTCTTCTATCGTGCAAACAGAATGGCTGCTTTGATTTATAAAGAGGTTAGCACAAATGCACAACCACATCATATACAGTATATGATCTTTAAATGCATGCATCCCCACAATGTTGTCTTTCTTTTGTGATTTTGTTCTTCAGAATTCATTTGGAGATGTCACTGAACGTCATAAACTCAGGGAGAGATTAAAGTGCAGGGACTTCTCTTGGTACTTGAAGAACATTTACCCAGAGGCCTATGTCCCTGACATATATGGAAGGGTGAGCTACTTTATCAGCATTTCATTATCTCTCATTAGTTGATCATCTCTCTACAGTTTGTATTTCTAGAACACACAAGTGTGCTATCATTTTTGAGACATAGGTTTTTGCAGTAGAGCCTTGAATAAAATACACTGCATTTTCCCTCTGTCAGTTAAGCCAGACAATATAAGATGCAAGAGTGACTGAGGAATTTGTCACCTGTGATAAGGTGTAGCACACCATGAGGCTTGCATATGCACAATATTACCATAATCAAGAACAGGCATAACATAATAGTTTGTTTGTCAGTTTACCTGCCAAATATTATTTGCTTTAAGAAATAAGTCTGTCCCAATAATTACGTGTCACAGAGAGCCAGTGTGAAATGTAATCATTTTAGTTTATTTCAGCTTAATGTTAGATTAAGTTGATTGGTATTTTTAACTATAGAACATACTCTCTTATTTTATCTAAAACTTAAAAACAAAAATTTCATATACAGTACATTATAGATGGAGATCCAGACCGTGTTTAAAAAAGGAATCTGGAACAATGGCATCTGTTAGCTGTCTAGTTACTGGAATTTTTTTTTCTGCAGTTGGAAAACATTGGTTTGAAGTGCTGTCTGGATGTGGAGAAGACAAAAAAGCAACAGAAGTCTGTCCAAAAGATCAACTGTACCAATACGTGTGGAACACAGGTACATTAACTTCTGTTGGGTCAGTGGTTCCCAAACTGAAGGTCACAAGATTCTGATGGGTCACCAGAATAAAGGGAAAAGGGCATAAAGGAATAAAGGGAAAAGAAATTGTGTTCTATCACACATAATTGCGTTTATAACTTTTGATTTTTTCCCTTAATTCTTGCTCTTTTCTTGTAAAAAAAAAAATACTCAATACTATCTGCTTTTCATCAGGAGTAAGCAATCTAAAAATGAAATGAGGGGTAACAGGAGGGTTGGGAACCAGTTTTAGATCAACATATGAAGTTAGAGTACACTTTTAAATGAATTGATGGCAATGAGATCATTCTTACCCAAATTAAATACAGTGTTTATCTGTGTGATTTGTAGTATTTTGAGTACACCCCACAACATGAAGTATGGATCAGCCCTGACAATGAGATGTGTTTACATGCAAATCCTGGAAAATCTCTGGTGTCTGTTGAACCGTGTCAATTGAACGGAAAAGTATCTGCACCACCACCTGAGCAAGTGTGGATCTTCACACAGGTACAGCATGCGTTTCTGCAGCAACTCATGTTATAATACTGTTCCTGGTTGTTTTAAAATTTCTAAATCTAACCGACTTAATCATGTCAGATTCTTATACAGTTTACGTTGTTATTGTTTTCAGACAAACCATCTGAAGAATCCCTCATCAGACAAGTGTTTGACAGTGGCAAGAGGACAGGTGATCATGACGAAATGCACATCAACCAGACTCAGTCAAAGCTGGATCCTCATCTAACTTTATTTATGTGTGTATGTGTGTAATCCTACCAATATGTTAACTCCAGTGCAAGATTGGGAATGAATCCACAATCTTGGTTACAAAAATGCATTTTAAAGTTCAATTGAAGCTAATATGAGGCTTTAGCAGAGTCAAAAAAAAAAAGAAAATCAAATGATATCTTTCAGTCAAAGTTACAGTCTTTTTAGCACAAAAATCCCTGTTTCTGATGCTATCTCTTCTCTGCAACTCAGAAAGGAAACACTGTCTGTCTTAACATAAAGAGGGAATTGATAAATTGAGACTGCTGAAGCCCCATATTAGCTTCGGCTGAACTTTAAAAGGCATTTTGCACAAAGTGAGTACTGATTATAGAAAATCAATTTATTTTAACTTCATGGTTGTCCAAAACTAAGTTTTTTTTAGAATGTTTCTTGTTGATAAACTTAGTAATTTTTTTAAAATAAAGATAAAAAATTTGAATTGTGTCTTTTTTTCCTTTCCATATATTGTTTTGTTTTCTCATTATTATCCACATTGTTGGAAAGAATGAACTGCACCCCCTGTACAGTTTTCATTCAATCTGTTTATACAGTCATTGTGGGCAAAAAGCAAGTCTTCATAACGTAAAACAATAAATGTTCGAGTGATAACATGTTAGGTTAGGAATAAAGTTATGTTTAGGTATAGGGTTAGGTGTAAGGATTGGGGTTAGGCAATGGTTGTGGTTAGAGCATGGGAAGATATCTGAGTAGGCCAGACAGGCCACTGACATCAGGGAATAATGCTGCCATGAAGAAATTGAGAAAAACTTAACTAGGCCTTAAAGCTAAACTCAGTTGTCTGTTTATTAGGTAGGCCTACATCTATTTAAAACTAATGCAATATAGCCTATAAAAGTCATGCAATAAATCCTGTTTGCAATGTTGACACGGTTAAGGGGTATTGATTCAACTGTATTGTCATTTGAAGTTGAACCATTGTGTGTGTTTGTGTGTATATGTATGTATGTGTGTTGAGAGAGGAGGCGGGGGGTGAGACCACGCCCCCGTGTAGGGTCGGTGACGTCACTTGATACGACGGTGATGGGAACTCGAGCGAGCGCTGGTGAGTTTCTCTCAAACCAATAAAATCTCTCAGTTCTGCTTTGTCACTTCAACAGGGAAGTAGGCAGCACTTAGGCACATACGCACCACCAGCCACGACTGTTGTCTGTAGCTCTGTGTGAGTGTGTTTAAAGTCTGTCCCGTCGCCCGGGATCTGTTGGGGTTTATCTGCCAGGTTATCATCTCGTTAACGGACCTGTGAGTAGTAGCAGCGGTCGCTTTATCTGTGTAACTTAACCGTTTTTTATGGTTGCATGATGTAGCTTGTCAGTTCGAAGCTAGCAGTGTGTTGCCTGTCAAGTCATGTTGTCATAACAGCTTGTGAAGCTAAGAGCTCGCGACAGGGCGGTTTTAGTATTAGCCCAGCAATACATACAGCATACAGCCGGCGATATAAAGCTGTTGAGTTCAGTTTTAATAGCAGCATAATCCCCCTGGATGTTAGTAGCTAACTATCCACGATGCCATAAAGGGACAATTCATGAGCAACGAACTGTCAGCCCGTGTTATCATGATATGTTAGCCGAAAGTACCCAGCTTCATCACGGTGTGCTGCAGTAAGGTTTAGCCCTCTAAATACGGGATTTGGTAGAGGATTTGACTAATATCATTATAGTTTGTTGTGTGTGTTTCAGGCTATTTCTGGGAGCTGTTGTGGCCATCAAGACAGCAACTTTTTTTTAAAAATAAAATCCCAAACATTTGAATGTTTCAAGTTCTCAAAGGGGAGAATTTGCAGCTTTTTAGTATTGCTTACAAAGTGGTTAATTATTTATTTTTGTAGTGTGGACAAAGTTGGACAAAACTCAACATCAGATGGCGTCAGCTTGTGGACTAGAATATCGTGATAGGCATTTTCTCACTGTTTACTGATTTTTTTTAATTTTTTTAAACAAACTAAATGATAAACCAATGGATCGAGAATGTTTAATTGTGTAATGTGTCATGTGTACTGAGTGCCTTTTCTCTATTCTGTACCAAAAACAAATTCCTATGACTGTTCATTGTAAGTGAGAACATGATAATAATTTATAATGAAAATAATCATTAGTTGCGACCATGTATGCATTCAAAACTTGCATGACAATTGATGTTCATCAGTTTCCAAAGAGCTTTTTAGAGACACGTGGCAGAATTTTTTTTAATTTTTTTTTATCATCAATGCAGATTACAGACTCACTTAAGAGTGAACATGAAGTCATTAGTGCATTTATTGAAGAAAAAAAAGTACTTCCTTATTTGGCTCAATTGAAATGACTCAAAGAAAATCTAAGCAAGAGAAAAGTTCTCTCAAACATGCTCCTCTGTTTCTCTGAATTTTAGACATTGAATGAGGAAGCAAAGAAGAAAGTGGTTTGGATTGTTTGCCTGTTTTAGCTCATTTACATTTCAGCAAACAAAACAAATTTTCAGACATTTATGCTGTTTTTTAAAAATGCTTTGTTTCCTACTGTTAATCCATTGAGCTGCAACTAATGATTATTTTTTATTATTGATTTATTTTCTCAAGTAATCACTGAAGCATAAATAAAATGTCAGAAAATAGTGAAACATATCAACCCCAGTTTCCCAGAGCCCAGTGTGATGTTGTTTTGTCTAAATTCCTAAAATATTCAGTTTGCCATCATAGAAGATTAATCAGCTTAAAATATCAGAAAGGGGTGAAAAGTAGTTCTGAGGTAACATAGGCAAAAGGCCTGTTTTGCTCAACCAACAGTACAAAACCCAAAGATATGAAATATGCAATGATGCATGTTGCTTTGAAAAATGACTAACATTATCAAAATTTCTGAGGAGTCATTTTGTGTCAATCCTCTAATTGATTAATCAACAAATTGTTTCAGCTCTATTCAGTTCATTTTCATAGGGTGTGAAAATCTTGTTGCATACACTTCAAAATTACTCGAGTTGTTGTCGTGAACATCAAGTCAGCATGAATTTTGTCAGTGTCAGTGTAGACCTTTTCACATCTGAACATCATCACCTAAACTGTATTAGTACACAACTATAATATTACATTGACAAATATGAATTCAAACTTCAAACTAAGCCTTCAACAGGCAGATTATGCAAAACAAAGGGAGGTATGAGCTCTACTTGTTGCTTTTATCTTTAGTCTATTTAAATGCAATCACTGCCTGAAATAGTAGGAAAAATAGATCCAAATCTCTAAAACTTTACAGACTGTTAACAGAAGTTAAACATGAGTTGTATTTAAGAAGCTGAAACATTTCAGGACATTGCTCTTTCTGTCTTTCTTTTTTTCTTTTTTTGTTGTTGTATGCAAGACTATATCTCCACCAGCCAAATGTTAGGTAATTTTTGAACAGTGTTGTGTTTTACATAATTGTCAGAGGTACCCACCAGGTCACCTGACCACACCTCAGGCACAAGAGGAGCAACACACCTCTCAGGTGTAATCACGTTACCTTAACAATAGACTATATATGCTACCTTCTCCCCTTTGTTCTTTTTTTTTTACCCTAGCCGTGTTGTGTGTGCCCTAGCTCCAACCAGACAGGCCTTCCTTTGTAAAAACGAATTTACAAAGAAAAGCAAAGAAAATAAAAGTGCTTTGCATTTTGAACTCTTGACTCCTGCCTCACCTGTGAGTCTCTCAAACACACATCAGTCTACCCACTAGCCATTACGTTATAGCTTAACACTAATTTGTATGTTGAGGCACTAGTATATTGCTGTTGTGGTATGGTAGCAGTCTGTGTTTTCCTTCTGGAAGGTTGGTTTAACATGTCAAAGAACATTTTTAACTGGATTTTTTTGTCTATCATCTTTTTTTTTTTTTTTTTTTTTTTTAGAGAAAATGAGCGGCATCCCCCTCTCTCGCTCCGAGGTGTTTGGGGAACTGAGGAAGGAGCTGCATGAAGATGAAGAGTTCCGTCAGACTGACGTTCACATCTTCATCATCATGGGCGCATCGGTGAGAGCAGGGGAGGGCAGTCAAAGCAATCTTGATCATACAGAAGTTAATGTGATTTAAAAAAAAAAAAAAAAAAATGGTTTCCCAGGAGAACATTACCCAGATCAACACACTACCGCTTGCCTTTTTCCCATAGTGCATCCTGGTGCCATCTCTTCCCCAGCTAAACTGCACATACGCACCTGACTGGTCTGCAGCTATGCAGCCATACACAGGAAGCTGCGATGCACTATATGGTCTGGTAGTTTTCTATCATAGCCAACATTAAGAGCCAGGAACATTTAGTGTAGCCAAGTTAGGCAAGATTCTTTTTGCCCAAAATTTCAAAGAGAGTGTGTTGAAATCTTTAAAAAATACTGCAATAATTGCACATGGTCTGATTAAGGAAATGTTGAAACTGATTTCACTGAGCTTCTACAAACAAGCAGAACAAGTTATCTGAGCTTTCAAAAGCCTGGAATTGAGACATAGAATACCTCAAGGTTCCTCTTTGCTTATCATTTCAATAGTATTTAGTATCTCTAACTGGTAAACTCATAGTTTAGTAAAAATCATCAAAACCAGTGCTCAAAAAACTAAACCAGAAAACAAAACCAGTAATCATGTAAAGATTTTAATTCCTTACTTTGCTTACCATAAGCATGTTTCATCTGGATTGTTTGCTGTATCATGCAGACTTTGTGTGAATAAGACAGAATGTCATAAAATGAATTTTTTGATTTAAATTTGGCAATATCTGATTTGAACATAAACTAGTACAGTTCTCAGTAGTTAAGTTTGTGTTTTCTTTCAACGCTTCCTATTTCCTCATACTGTAAGAACTAAAACCAGTTCAGGCATTCTGGTATTTTTAGGTTGATTTCCTTCTGTCTGTCTTAATGTTTCCAAATGTGGGTTCTTCTTGTTAAATTGATTCTATAATTAAAAATAAGACTTAACACAATTTTACAGAAGCATGGTTGTATCGGTGAGAATGTGTAAACTAACACCCAAACTGAGCAGAAGTTTTGCTTTCACTGCACAAGACACAATTTCTGCAAAATCATTCAAGAGAACCATTTTAAAACCATTTAAAATTTTAAAACTGTTGCAATCACATGCGAAAAGATGGTTTTGGTTGAGCTTATCTTGAACATCTAGCCAGGCTACACTTTTATCTGGTAATTCATTTGCTCTGTCCTTGTTTCTCTTGGACTGTTTGCTGTTGGGAGCAGAGAGTGGCGCTGCTGCTGATTTTTGCAGTGTCACTCAGTGTCAGCATTTTTCTTTCAGTGTGATACACAGGCAGGTCAGGGGAAGAGCTGGGCTGGGCTGTGTGCAGCTGTTTGTTTTATGCATTTGTTTGATGCTGCAGCTGTTTAAATTAGTGTACGGGCTACTCGTTTTTAATTTTATATCCTAATAGACCTTTTATGTTTATTCCTAAGTGAATGTATATAGTCACACCACATTTTCAAACATTTGCTCACTGCTACTAAATCAACAGTTATTGCTGTTGATGAAATGAGAGGTGTGACTGAGTGTAGCAAGTTAGTTGTTTATGTTGCAGGATATTGTGCATACCAGATCAGTTCCAATGAGTGACAACAGAAATGTTCAGTTCCTCTTGTCTACAGTTGTCTACAGTAACACATAATCTTAAACAAAGTAGCAGGGTTACAAATTGAGGAAGTCCCTGCTGAGGAATAGTGTTTTAAACAGAGATGTCAGTATGTGATTTAGGCCAACAGTATACTGCCATGGGAATTAATTTTAATTAAATTGACTTCTAATGTCTTGGTACATGGCACAATTCAAACTTTTATTGATGGATTTCTGAGTGCCTTCTGTCACTGTCTGACACTAGCATGCACAGCCTTTATACAGTGCAATGTACTGTACAATAATTTCCTTGTCTTGTGAGACTTGTTGAACAGTATTTAAAGGTGACTGATACGTGCTGTTGTAAGGGCACTAAAGCAACAGGTTCTTCAGCATTACTGCGGTAAGCAACAGGACAGTCTTTTGTCTCCAAGCTGTCGGTTGGTGTTTGGCACTCGCATCCAGTAGGATTACAAAAGTTGCGCACTAAGCTAAAGCAGCCTACATACCTGTTGCTACACAGTGTGACCTGCAGTACTGCAGCATCCTGCGACTTTAGTGCAGTGGAAAATAATCATGACATAGCGCACTAATTAAATAAGCAGCACAGTAACTTAAACACTGTATCAGTTGTCAATGATATTGTAGATAACCTATATTTTTTAAAGTGAAATATTATTTCTCATTGTTTGTCTCCACCTGTAGGGGGACCTAGCTAAGAAGAAAATCTACCCAACTCTTTGGTGAGTGAACCTCTGACCACACTGAAAGGCTTTTACATGGATAAAATAGCAGAGGCTGATGAAAGATACTACTCTAATCTGGGGTGGAGCCTTTGAAGTCGAGTGTAATGAACCTTATATTCCTCTTTTCTCTCCCAGGTGGTTGTACAGAGATGGCCTCCTCCCTGAGCAGACATATTTTGTGGGCTTTGCTCGCTCTGACTTGACAGTAGATGTTATCAGAACTTCTTGCATGCCGTACCTGAAGGTAAAACATCTTTCTGTATGTATGTACATATATTTAAACTTAATAAATAAATATATCTATATATATACAGTATATATTAAGTTTGCATTTTAAAAGACCGTAGTTAATTCCATGCATGCATAAATGTTCTCAACCTGTGGCCCAGGTGCTGGATACAGAAGCGGAGCGGCTGGCGGCCTTCTTCAGCAGGAACACGTATATCAGTGGGAGATATGCTGATGAGGGTTCCTTCTCCAAACTGAACACACACATCCTGTCTCTGCCCGGAGGACCCGAGGCAAACCGTCTCTTCTACCTAGCCCTGCCACCCAGCGTCTATCACGATGTTACCAAGAACATCAAACACCACTGTATGAGCACAAAGTTAGTGCACACAATTCTCTTACTGTTGCTGTGTTACACTGTTTACTCATTGTTTTGCAAGTTTCTGTTTGTAAATTGTCCACTGTCCTGTTAGAACTCAATCTCTAAAGCTTCAGTGATGTCCACTGGTGTACTGTTAAGCCATTTTTTTTTTTTTTGCATGTACAGTTTAACCCCAGTTGTGTCCCATTAATATGTCATTGTTGTGATGAGTATGGGAAGAAGAGCACAGCATCAAGCAGAGTGGGCAGGATTTGAGATGTTGATTTTCTTTTGTCTGTGGTTGTGCCTGTATGTTGTGTAGAGGCTGGAACAGGGTGATTGTAGAGAAGCCATTTGGACGTGACCTCCAGAGCTCTGAAGAGCTGTCCACTCACCTCTCCTCCCTCTTCACTGAAGAACAGATCTACCGTATAGATCACTATCTGGGCAAAGAAATGGTGCAGAACCTCATGGTGCTGAGGTAAGAGAACTGTCTTCAGATAAAGTTGCTTTTCTTTTTTCTGCTCTTATTTATCATATAAGCCTTTAAATATTATGATTATTCTGTATTCTGTAAATTCTGTAAATGGAATAAAGTTTGCTGGTTAAGTCTCTCTCTGAGACTGTAATTTCAGAGCCTCACCTGAAATTATAACATTTTATAATCTATTTTTGACAATAATTATTACCAAATAATTATTTAAAAATGGGGCCAATAAAACAAACTAAATCTCACCCACTAATGGCATATATATTAAGAACATCCAATAGAGTGAAATGTAAAAAATGTACTGGGTTAAATACTGTATATCAGATTGAGCTAAATTTAACTACACCACCAGAAATATGGAAGAATATACTGTATTACACAGAAAACAAGTTCATTATTTGGAGAGTGTGGTGTTGGAAAGTACAATCAATTTTTTTAACCGCTGTTATTCAATCAAGTATTCAAATGAGAGTGCATACAATTATTTCACACCCACATATTCTTTTCCTGTCCAGTTTTGCAGTAATATAGGACCAAAGTTACCATACCATATGTCAATGCACTCTCTTCTCTGGATCAAAGGGAGTACTACAGAGTATACAGTATTCAGTCCCCTTCGCTTTTTTCACATTTTGTTATGTTGTAGCTTTGTGTATACATCATACATCATCATCAAGCTACACTCAATACCCCAAATGACAAAGTGGAAACAGAATTTAAAATTTTTTGGCAAATTTATAAAAAATTTAAAACAGAAATATCCAAATCCACCTTTTATTTTTTAAGTGCAGAGGTGGGGCCGGATGTAGTCATTTGGGTTTTTATATTTCTTGGGAAGTCATTATTGTAAAAAAAATAAATAAAAGGATTTCTAACTAAGAGCCCATGGCATCCTGATAAATAAAGCTTAAAACACAGTACTACCAGCACATCTTTCATCTTAGCATTGTTGGTATTTCTCCCTGTGTGTTGTGATTTTTTTTGTGTGGAGATGTTTTTTTTATTTCAACCTAAAACAATGATCTGCTGTTGAGTTAAGGTAACTTTAATTATGCAACACTTCAGCTTCATCTGGTTTGGGTTTGAAAACCCCCTATGAATATTACACAAAGTAAATAGAAACTGGCCTCTAGGAACGAACAAAGGGGAAGATAAATGTTTATGCATGTTGTCATGAACAGCTGTCTTATGCGCTGCATGCTGCTGAGCAGAGAATGATTATGTGATGTTTGTTGCAGGTTTGGGAACCGAATCTTTGGACCAATCTGGAACAGGGACAATGTGGCCTGTGTTGTCCTCACCTTTAAAGAACCATTTGGCACTCAAGGACGAGGAGGCTACTTTGATGATTTTGGCATCATCCGGTGAGGGGAAAAAATCCCTAAAGTTTGTCTTTATTATGTAGTATTAAACTTTCATATTATACCACAGTGTATTAGAAACTATTAAGTGTTTATAAATGTTAAATTGGGGGTTAAATTAAAGTGTTACCTATGAAAGCTGAATAATCATTAGTAACTTACTGCCCTGTTGATGATGCATGGGTTTGACAGTGTTGTTTGAACAGTACATACAGAAAGTTAGTAGCAACACATGATCAGTTATAGTGTAAATTAACATGATCACATCCATCATATTCTCCTTTCTGTCTTTTGTGTGACCACCTGTTCCCCTTGTCATGATTAGTGATGTCATGCAGAACCACTTGCTCCAGATGCTCTGCCTGGTTGCCATGGAGAAACCAGCTTCCACCAGCTCTGATGATGTCAGGGATGAAAAGGTACAAAACCATCTCTCAAAGACCAAAAACACTCAACACCACACCCAACATGACAGATATGGAGATATACAGTATATTAGAGTTTACTGTAAATTCTTAAATAGTAGCCAAAGCCTTTATTAACCTCAGTGTCAGAGAGAACCAGGATGGGGACAGGATAGGCCTTTATTTTAATTTCCCCTCTTCCCCAGTAAATGCAATTATTTCAATACTGGCTTTTATATGAGAGTTTACAGTATATGTGGAAAAAATAGACAGCATTTGTTCTCTCACTATATACTCTCTCTTGTAGGTGAAGGTGCTGAAGTGCATCACTCCAGTGTCCTTGTCAGATGTGGTGCTGGGTCAGTATGTCGGGGATCCAGAAGCTGAGGGAGACGCCAAACTGGGTTACCTTGATGATAACACAGTTCCTAAAGGATCAACGCAGGCCACCTTCGCCACCGCTGTGCTCTATGTGCACAATGAACGCTGGGATGGTAAACATCAAAGAAAACCCTTTACAAGACTCTTCACAAAGTAAATATGTATATAACAAATAACTGCATGAAATTCCTCCTCCTCAGGCGTTCCTTTCATCCTTCGCTGTGGAAAAGCTCTGAATGAGAGGAAAGCTGAGGTACGGCTGCAGTTCACAGATGTGCCAGGAGACATTTTTGGAAAGCAGTGTCGCAGGAATGAACTGGTGGTGCGTGTGCAGCCTAACGAGGCCGTGTACGCCAAGATGATGAGCAAGAAACCTGGCGTTTACTTCAGTCCTGAGGAAACTGAGCTGGACCTCACCTACAAGAGCAGATACAAGGCAGGTTCAGATTGATTTATTTATGCGTTATGTACTCTATGAACATACTGAAAATGAAAAGGAAAGTAGGGCTGCAACTAACAATTATTTTATTATCAATTAATCTCAGTTATTTTCTCAATTGATCGTTTGCTATAAATAATTTTGGAAAATAATGAAAAATGCCCAGAATAATTTCCCAGAGCTATTTGATGTATTCAGATTGTTTTTATCCAGTCAGTCCATCCATCAGTCCAAAAGCGAAAGATATTCAGCTTACTATCATATACAACAAAGAAAAGCTATAAATCCTCACATCGGTGGAGCTGGAGTCAGTAATATAGTTGCCAATTACGCTTGACGCTAGACAAACAATTCATAATTAATGGATTGTCTGTTGACTGGTCATGTCAGCTCTAAAGAAGACCCTAACTACAGCTACTGATTTAAAATAACAGCACAAAGAATGCTAACAATCTATCTACTGTGTTTTTCTAATTGAAAAAGTAGAGAATTAAAACTCATGTCTTGTTTTCAGGATGTGAAGCTTCCAGACGCTTACGAGCGGCTCATCCTGGATGTCTTCTGTGGGAGTCAGATGCACTTTGTCCGCAGGTCTGTCTTTGTTTTCCCACTACTCTTGTCTCATCTTACTACCTGGAAACTAAACCTGTCTTTTGTAATGACATGTTGCAAGTGCTTCATGTGAGGTCACAGTTCTGAACACTAGATAGCGCCATGGTGCATTGTTTCTCTGCCTCGGCATGACAAGCATAGCTTTGTCTTTTTGGTTTTTTTTTACCTTCACTAAATATTAAATTGTTTGTCTCTGCAGTGATGAACTACGGGAAGCTTGGAGGATCTTCACGCCCCTCCTTCATCAGATAGACGGAGAGAAGCCGAAGCCTATTCCATACAAATATGGAAGGTAGGAAATGTTGTTCACTATGCCTTTAACTAGATGAGGAATTCAGTAGAGTTGAATGTTATTGTTTCTTTTCTTTCAGCCGTGGCCCAACAGAAGCGGACGACCTTGCAAAGAGAGTTGGATTTCGCTATGAAGGCACTTACAAATGGGTCAACCCACATAGACTGTGAATTGTGATGAGATGAGGGAGGAGTAGATGTAGGATAGTAGGAGGGGTGCAGCGGGGTAAGTGAGCCACGTCATGTTCCAATACTGGAGTGTCTTTGAAGAAAGAAGTGTTTCCACTGTGTGGATCCATCACAGTAGCAGCAAAGAAAGAAGACATTAAAAAAAAAAAAGTATTTCTCAGGTATAGCAGTTACTCCATGGAGCCAGTTCATCAGACAGTCAAAATACAATTATGAATATAGGCTGTCATCAGTTTTTCCTGTATATTCACAGCAGCTGTCCTCATTTTAATTTAGAGGTGGGACCAAGTCAGTTGGAGAAGGAACAAAAACAATTTGAACCAGGAAATTTTTGTGAAAAAAATAACTGTCTGAACTGGCTCCATGTCCCCGTCTCCTTTAATTAGGTCTTAATTTGTCAGGATGGTAAATGGAATAACTGTAACGTGAACAGAGCAGATCAACAACAAAACACTCAACTGAGTCATGCTCTCCCAGTACTGTACTGTACCAAAGAATGGTAACTGAACACAACAGAGACGAGGAACAGGAATGATTGTCCACCAGCTGTCACTCTGATAACCATTGTGATTGCAATACCTTTATGCTTTGACTGCATTTAATAATCATGCTTAGTGAAATTCATTTTTACAATTCCATACCCTTTTTTTTTTTTCTTTTTCCCCTGCCTGGGACCAAGGACATGATGGCTGTTCACGGTAAATACACTTGTTTATAAAGGGCAATGCAGGCAGTTTCGCTTCAAAGCATTCATACTGGAATAGTCTTAAGTGTCCTTCTGGACGAGCAAAGTGAGCTCTTTTTCTTGTTTAGTAGCCTCCTCTGAGCTTTATTTCCTTTTGTTTACATTTTTCCAGGTTTATTTAAGTTGTTATTTCATATTTCAAAATATCCAGACAGCAGCGGTGTCTGCCACAGGTCAACAGTGAATGTCTTTGTAATGAAGAGCTGTATACTGCTGTTAACTGCACATTCATGTAAAGCTAAGCTACATTTCCACACCTTGTAATAAACTAGTTTTGCTTCTGTTTGTGTGTTTGTACTGGTGGTTTCTTACTCTTTCACTGAAGCCACTAAGTGACATGTTAATAGGTATATGTTTAGAGAAGCTATTTTAAACTCACTTGAACTTTAAATGAAAATCTTAAATGCAACAGTTCATCAGTTTGGGAAATATGTATGTATTCTTTCTTGCTGAATAGTTAAATGAGAAGTTTGATACCACTTTTTGTACGCTAAATATAAAGCCGAGAAGGTGCTTAGATTGGGGTAGCACAGAGACCTGAAGAAGGGGGAAACAGACCATCTTGAAATGAGATCACACCAGCCTCGACATGATTAAGATATTGAGTTCTGACCCATAAGTACTCAGTAGTAATTACTAAAAACTTATTACAGGAGTACTCAATACTCCTGGGTGAGACCACATCCATCTCAACTACATGCCTGGTAAATTTTGTGACTATCTCCACGGTTGTGACACTGTCACAGGGACAAAATCCAAAACAAAGTGCTCTGAATAACATCTTCTATAGTGCTGAGTTGAAAGAGTCAAGCTGGTTGAAAAAGACCATTATATGTGGCTAAAAGTTTTGTACGTATCATATAAACAAGATTACACAGAAATCATTAATAATTCTATTCCAATTATTTAATCCTAATCTTCTGAATAAGGGAAACGAGCTAAAGATTTCATCACTAAATGTTTTAATTTTGAATCAGTCTCAAGTGAAGACGCCTTTCATCATACATTTAATCTTTTCTTTCATCCTCCTATAGCTGCAATCCTTTGTCTATAGAAGTGCAGCATCAGTTTTTTGTTCTTTGTTAGTCTGTTTTCATTAAAGGTTTTATGTGCCTCATAAACACATTTGAGTAGTGAAGTGCAGTGTGGTATACTCATAAAAGGTGCCCTGTGGAGTTATAAATATGTATATATATGAAGCCTAAATATTTTTTTAACACTAAGACACTGGACTGCACAGCCCTGTTGAGATTTATTAGGCTGTATTATTCTTTATCAACAATTTGGGTGATTGTTGCTTACTGCTTTTAACTATTTGCCTATAGGCCTACTATTTAAAAAATCAAAATCTAGTTTGGATTCACTAAATAAAGTTTGTGAAGTGGCTGCATCTGCTGGTGTCCCGCATCCTACCTGGAATGGACATGCTTCTGACAGATGCGCCAGCTGACAGTGAACTCTCATCTCCACTCCAGTTCTCATCACTAAGCTAAACCCAGTGTGTAAAACTGCGATCGCTCTCTCTCTCTCTTCCTATTGTAATATGACATGTTGTCCCACAGTCAGAAGGTTCTGGGTTCAAACCCCGGTCCTGGGGACTTTCCGTGTGGAGTTTGTATGTTCTCCCTGTGCCTGCATGGGTCATCTCCAGTTACTCTCGCACAAAGACATGCACATGAGGTTAATTGGTGACTTTAATGCCATATGACTTTTTTATGCCTTACTACACTGTGATGTTTTTATGCCTTATCATACTATGACGTTTTTTTTAAATTTTATGCCTTAGTAATCTATGATATTTTTTGTTTTTTTTTTGCCATTTTTATTCCTTACTATGCTATGACATTTTTATGCCATACTATAATGTTTTTCGACATTTCATGCCTAACTGTCCTAGGACTTTTATGACATTTTTATGCCTTTCTATATTATGACGTTTTTTGCCATTTTTATGACTTGATATACTTTGACATTTTTATACCATACTATACTATGACTTTTTAAGCCTCACTATACTATGACATTTCTTAAAATTTTTATGCCTTAATATACTATACTATTTTTGAGCATTAGTATATCATGACATTTATCAACATTTTTATGACATGCTATACTATGACTTTTTTTTTTAACATTTTTATGCCTTACTGTACTATGATGCATTAGGACATTTTTATGGCTTACTATACTATATTTTATGCCTTAACATACTATGACGTTTTTTAACATTTTTATGCCATAATATACTATGACTTCTTTTTCACATTTTTATGCCATACTATACTATGACTTATTTGACATTTTTATGACATGCTATACCATGACGTTCTTATGCCTTACTATCCAATGTGGTTTTTAGTACTTTTTATGCCGTATTACACTATGACGTTCTTGACATTTTTATGCCTTACTGTACTTTGACGTTTTATCACATTTTTATGGCTCGCTATATTATGACTTTTAATGCCATATTATGACATTTTTTGGCATTTTTATGCCATACTATACTGTGACTTTTTTCACATTTTTATGCCTTACTGTACTATGACGTATTATGACATTTTTATGGCTTACTAAACTATGACATTTGATGCCTTAACATACTATGATGTTTTTTGACATTTTTATGCCATAATATACTATGACTTCTTTTTCACATTTTTTATGCCATACTATACTATGACTTTTAATGCCATAGTATGACCTTTTTTGACATTTTTATGCCATACTATACTACATTTTTATGCCTCAGTTTACTATGACGTATTATGACATTTTCATGCCATACTATACTATGACGTTTTTTGCCATTTTTTTGCCATACTATACTATGACATTTTTTAACATTTTTATCCCTTACTGTACTATGACGTATTATGACATTTTTATGGCTTACTAAACTATGACATTTGATGCCTTAACATACTATGACATTTTTATGCCTTACTGTACTATGATGTATTATGACATTTTCATGCCATACTATACTATGACATTTTATGCCTTAACATACTCCGATGTTTTTTGACATTTTTATGCCAAACTATAGTATGACGTTTTTTGACATTTTTATGCTATGCTATACCATGACATTCTTATGCCTTACTATCCAATGTGGTTTTTTGGACTTTTTATGCCATATTACACTATGATGTTCTTGACATTTTTATGCCTTACTGTACTTTGACGTTTTATCACATTTTTATGGCTTACTATACTATGACATTTTATGCCTTAACATACTATGACATTTTTATGCCTTACTGTACTATGATGTATTATGACATTTTCATGCCATACTATACTATGACGTTTTTTGACATTTTTATGCCTTACTGTACTATGATGTATTATGACATTTTTATGGCTTACTATACTATGACATTTTATGCCTTAACATACTATGATGGTTTTTGACATTTTTATGCCATAATATACTATGATTTATTTGACATTTTTATGACATGCTATACCATGACGTTCTTATGCCTTACTATCCAATGTGGTTTTTAGTACTTTTTATGCCGTATTACACTATGACGTTCTTGACATTTTTATGCCATACTATACTGTGACTTTTTTCACATTTTTATGCCATACTATACTATGACGTATTATGACATTTTCATGCCATACTATACTATGACATTTTTTAACATTTTTATGCCTTACTGTACTATGATGTATTATGACATTTTCATGCCTTACTGTACTATGATGTATTATGACATTTTTATGCCATACTATACTATGACATTTTTTAACATTTTTATGCCTTACTGTACTATGATGTATTATGACATTTTCATGCCATACCTTACAATGACATTTTATGCCTTAACATACTATGACATTTTTATGCCTTACTGTACTATGATGTATTATGACATTTTCATGCCATACTATACTATGACATTTTATGCCTTAACGTACTATGACATTTTTATGCCTTACTGTACTATGATGTTTTATGACATTTTCATGCCATACCATACTATGACGTTTTTTGACATTTTTATGCCTTTCTGTACTATGATGTATTATGACATTTTCATGCCATACTATACTATGACGTTTTTTAACATTTTTATGCCTTACTGTACTATGACGTATTATGACATTTTTATGGCTTACTAAACTATGACATTTGATGCCTTAACATACTATGACCTTTTTTGACATTTTTATGCCATACTATACTATGACATTTTTTAACATTTTTATGCCTTACTGTACTATGACGTATTATGACATTTTTATGGCTTACTATACTATGACTTTTTTGACATTTTAATGACATGCTATACCATGACGTTCATATGCCTTGTGGTTTTTAGGACTTTTTATGCCATATTACATTATGATTTTTATTACATTTTTATGCCATACTATGCTATGACCTTTTTTTGAATTACTATATATGACTTTTTATGACATTTTTATGCCATATTATACTATGACGTTTTTGACATACTATAGTACGACGTTTTTCAACATTTTTATGACATAAAAATTCATACGGTTGTTAATGTGTTAACACTGCAGAACCTCTTGTAAATGCTGTTGTAAGTATTGATGAAAGTGGTTGGTTATAAAATGTTGGAGAAAAAAACTATGGTGTGTGTGTGTGTTATTTAAGTATGACATTTTTTATGACATATTATTCTGTGACTTTTTATGCCTTACTATACTATGACTTTTTATGCATTACTATATGATGACTTTTTTTTTTTTTTTTTTACAATTTCATGCCATATAATACTATAAAGTTTTTATGACGTACTATATTATGACTTTTTTTGACATTTTTATGACAGACTGTACTACAACATTTTTTGACATTTTTATGTATTTCTCATGAAATTTTGTCTGTAATATGCAATTCATATGGTTGTTAATGTGTTATCACTGCAGAACCACTTGTAAATGCTGTTGTAAGTATTGATGAAAGTGGTTGGTTAATAAATGTGGAAGAAAAAAATTATGGCGTGTGTGTGTTATTAAAGTATGACATTTTTTATGACATATTATTCTATGACTTTTTGCATTACTATACTATGACTTTTTATGACATTTTTAGGCTGAACTATACTATGAGTTTTTATTACATGTTGATGCCATACTATACTGTGACCTTTTTATGAATTACTATATGATGCCGTTTTGACATATTTATGCCCTAATATACTATGACATTTTTTGACATTTTTATGCCTTACTGTACTATCACATTTTTTGCCATACTATACTATGACGTTTTTTGCCATTTTCATGCCTTACTAT